AACAATCTTCCCACAATAAATGACGCAGTTTCATATTTAACAGCAACTGCCTATTAAGAGAAAGCCAACCACGATGCTGTGACGATGAGCTGGTGTGATATAAAGATAACAACCAGCTTGCATGGAGCGCTCGCCACATGCAGGGCCCTCAGTCTTGCTGTTCTAGAGCTTAATGTGGCTTTTGCAGTGACTACGAGCTACACAATATCAGTGTTTTGATGTCCCAGAAACGAGGCGCAGAGGCAGAATCTTCCCTGGGCCGGCTGAGGGGACGGGGCCGAGCCCTCAGCTCTGACGGAGAGAGGACACGGGCCCAGCCCCCCTCCCAGCCGGGCCTCGCTGCTCTGCCCTCCCTCTCAGCAACAGGAGCTGAAACTCAGAAGGCAGGAATAAAGAGGAACAGATTGGAACAGACAGACCAGAGGTCATTGGCTAGGAAGGATGTCCTCCTTGGGTTTATTTTAACTTGCTTTGCCTTATTTTCTCCATTTGTGCAATGTGGTAGTAAAAGACAAAAATTTCATACAATAATAAATGCAAAGGGGCCTCCAGCAGGGCCAGGGCTCAGCCGTCCGCGGTTCCTCCCGCCGTGAGACCCAGCTGGAGACGCCAGTGGTTTCACAGCCATTTGGACTTTGTCTCTGCTCCCTCTGCCACCATAGAGTGTGTTCTGATGATGAGAATCATAACTTAAATACTGAGCAAGAGGGAGAAGTGAGTGGGACAAGAGCCCTGGGGAGTCTGATGTACCAACACGATGACCCTTCTGGTCCCCTCTTGTCCGTGATCGCCGACTCTCAGCACCGCTCTGCAGAGCCGTCCTGTGTACCCAAAAATCGCAGGTCACTGTTCAGATGACTCAGACTTTCTGCTGAAGCACAGCTGCCTTGTGGGGCTCCTTCCTCAATGAAAGGGTGAGGTCAGGGCCTTAGCTCAAAACACAACTGGACAGCAGTAAATACCAGCTGCTTTCAAACTGCTTTCTAAATCGGGCCTGGGTCTCGGGTTTCGCCAGGAAGGCGGAGTGCCCAGCACACACTTAATACTCTCAGTGCTGTGGGTGACCACAGAGGACTCCAGAGTGACGTGTGGGCACCCCCCCTCCCGCAGCCGGCGCACGGCAGCCCCGCCCCCGAAGTCAGAGCAGATACTTTGGTCACTTGATAATTATAATTTTATTTTGAAATTATCATTTAAAAAAAATGTCCAAGTGGAAGCAATTAAACTTTGGGAAAGTCAAACGAATGTTGCTAGAAAAAAGAAAAAACCCAACCAGAAGGCCACTGCGACTGGCAGTCCATGAGGAGCCACACGGAGTGCAGGCGGGGTCAGCGGCGGGCTCAGCGGCGGGCTGAGCGCAGCACAGGGCCCTTCCGCGGTCGCTGACCCAGGCCTTTCTGCCCAGTGCTCCGCCACCGTGCCCAGGACAGAGCGAGCTGTGAAACCCTGAGGGCTCGCGTTCAGCAAGGCCCTTCGGACTGCTTCCAGGCTGCAGGGAAGGTGAGAAATCACTTCGCAACGGCTGCCAGGAGGGGCTGCTGATGTCACAGACCAGCGCCCTCGGTGTTGTCGCCAGTGCTGGGGTCAGTAACAAGTGCCCGGAAGAACTCAGACATACGTGAAGAAAGATTATGTTTGGGAGATTAACTATGAAATGAACACATCTTGGCTCACGGAAAATCCCAGCCACAAACACTTACTCCATTGAAAATGTGAAAGTAACTCATGAAAGAATGAGGGGCAAAGGGACCTCAGAGACTAACTTAGCCCAGTCTGAAGAGAGGTGTACAGTCTTTGCACTACAGGTATCTTCATTTTACATCTAGATACACCGACTGCTCTCAACTTACAGGCAAACAAACAAAACAGCAGCAGTAGTACCAAAACGTCAGCAGTCATCTGAAGTGCCTTTAGAAACCCGGATTCGCAGCTCCCCTCCTGGGGAGTCCGGGTCAGCAGGTCTGAGCTGGGCTGGAACACCTGAGGAGTCTCCAAGCCCACCAGGGTGCTTCTGAGGCACCTGGCATTGGGGCCACACAGACTAAATGTCTGCCTCGTAGACGGTCTGAAGCCCAGGCTCCCCTGGCAACTCCCTGACGTGGTGCTTTCTGTGACGCCCGCAGAGGGAAAGTGGGTGCAGGCCCGATGACCTGCGCCTCTGGCTCACTGGCTGGAGATTCTTAGAAATAAATACTGCCTTCGACTTCGGGCACAGACCTCCCTCACTCGCTGAGTCTGCCGATGTCTCCGCCCACTTTTCAAGGGCTTCCCTCCCTCTGCACTGCCTTAATGTCCCCATGGTAGACATTATGTGCGAGAGGCACTAAGTGATTAATTGTAGGGGGTGGAAAACAGCATGGCTGCCTGTATTTGGCACAACCTCCAAAAGCAAAATACCAGACCCAGAGGCTATAGAAACATGCTGGAGCTGGGTTTGACTTGATAAAAAACTAAAACTAGTATAAGATCATACATACCATAATCTTTAAAAAATGGAAGAAAGGGAGAAAATACGTGATGTTTATGCAATATCTAGAAGTTTAGAATGTGGATAATTTAATGAGTTCCTACAAATCAATTAAAAATAAAAACAAGTGGTCCCTAAGAAAAATTGACAAGACTCAGTATTCACCTACAATAGCTGGGACATACTTATAAAAGATTATCTGTGGTTTTTATAACATTGTCCTCTGTTGTTTTTAAGTCTGGCAACTCCAGCAGGATACAGACTTCCAATCTACAGCATAAGAAACATTAATGATCCACAATCATTGAAAAGATACTTGATATCACCATGTGAATTAAAACAAATATAGTCATTCTTTTTTGCCCATTAGATAAGAAACCAATGTCCCTTGCTGATCCGATACCAGGAAATATGCACTCAATGCACTGTGGAAACGTAAGCCCAAGGAGATGCCCTGAGAAGTATTTGCAGAAATGTAAGCCCAAGGAGACGCCCTGAGAAGTATTTGCAGAAATGTAAGCCCAAGGAGACGCCCTGAGAAGTATTTGCAGAAATGTAAGCCCAAGGAGACGCCCTGAGAAGTATTTGCAGAAATGTAAGCCCAAGGAGACGCCCTGAGAAGTATTTGCAGCCGTGTGCAAGAACTAAAATCAAGGTCCAATGTTACTTTCTACCCTGACATGTGCTAAAATGGGAGGGTTGTGGGTAGGCTGACTGCACATCCTCCCCTCAAGGCTGACCCCATGGATGAGGTCCCCTAGCTGAGAACTTTCCGTATTGAGGAACCAGCACAGTTCCTGCTTGTCCCTGAGCAGTGGGTTTCAGGCCCCTGCCCACCAGTGGACGATTCAAACAAGCCAACCCCATCATCCGGTGGGAACCAGGAGGCCCCACCCCCTCAACACTGCACAGCCTGCCCTCTGCCCTGCGCTCACTCTGCTCCTGGGCACCTCCCCACGTGGCCTGCGTGGAATGCCGTGTCTTCCCTCAGGCTTGGCTAGTAAACTGTCATGGTCTCATCCTTCCATGTCATGTGTCACCCCTGCCCTGGAGCGGGGGGCCCTTCCCTCTACACTGGGTGAAGAAGTGGTGATTAGCCCTGGCCAGTTTGGCTCAGCAGTTAGAGCGTCGGCCTGCGGTCCGGAGAGACCCGGTTCGGTTCCCGCTAAGGGCACGTACTTCGGTTGCAGTTTGTCCCCGGCCCTGGTTGGTCGTGCGGGTGGCAGCCACTCGATGTGTCCCTTCACGTCGATGTTTCTCTCTCTCTCCCTCTCCCTTCCTCTCTCTCCCTCCCACTCTATCTGTACAAAAAATGGAAAAATATCCTCAAGTGAGGATAAAAAAAAAAAAAGAAAAAAAAAAAGTGGTGATTAGAACAGCAGCACAAGGTTTACCTGAACCTACTTTCTAACCTGGAGATTTCACTTCCTAGAACTGGCAGGAACGAATACTCACTGTGGCATTGTCGTTTAAAGCAAAAAGTTGGCAGCAGCCTGAATACTTGTCTATTGGGAAATTATTAAATAAATTATAGTTGCACTTAAATTATAAAATGCAATGCATAAGTTGAAAAGACTTAGAAAGAATTCTGAGACTTATTACTTCTAAGTAATACGTACGATGCGAACTCACCCAGTTTATGTAAGATAATTTACAGCTGTGTGTGCATGGGCCTGTCTCCCTCTCAGAGGGTGAGGGGAGAGGCCGTGGAGGTTTCCGTGGTCTTTTGCTATATGATTTTGTATGGTGCGAGTCTTTTACACTGAAAATGCGTTCTAGTTGTACTTAGATGATGTGATATACATTTTAAAATAAGAAAAGTGTATCAGAGTATAGCTAGACATCTCAGATGAAAACTGGTGAAGGTTCGTGGTAATGTAGTGAAACTGCAAGGGGACAGCTCGTCCAGAATATCCCAGCCCCCGCCACGACATCTTCCCGGCCTCGGCGTGGTGTGACTCAGCCTTTAAGACCTTCTCAGCTTCTCTCCAGGAGGACTCCTGAGCCGAACCCCCTCCTTCTCATTCTGCACGAGTCACGCCATCGGTACTGATACATGGCCCACCTTTCTACAAATCCTGTCATCCCTCTCCCTCGCCCGAGCTTTTGTTTAACTGCAAATCTAAGGCATCATGATAAAAATTGAATCCGCATACAAAGGGAATGAGGTTGGGGTCCCGTGGATGAGAGAAATAAGCACAGAAGTCACTGCTCGTCCCTGTGTCAAACCCAGAAGCGCCTTTAGCAACAGCCTGTCTGAAGTGATAAACGGAATTTGCTGCAGAACGAGTTGCTCTCCCTCCTGCTCTTCGGAGCGGCTCACTGGGCGCTGGGTGGCAGGCGGTGTGGGTGGGCGGTCACCCTGAGGAAAGTCTCCTAACTGGGCCGCACCGCCCTGCCCGAAGCCCACCTCTGTCCTGCTGGGACTCGGCCGCTCAGCTCTCCCAGGAGCCGCCCGCCTCCTGCCCGCCCGCGGGCCCCGCCCCACCCCCCCCCGGACGCCCCGCCCCCCCGGACGCCCCCGGCTCCGCACCACACTGATGCCGTCGTTGAGCAGCGCCTCCCCGAAGATCATCATGCACAGCGGCTCGTTCACGCGCGCCTGCTCGAACACGGCCAGCACGGCCACCGGGTCCACGGCGGAGATCAGGCTGCCGAACAGCAGGCTCTGGAGCAGGTTGACGTCGCCGAGGCCGAAGGCCCGGATCTGGCAGACGAGGTAGAGGGAGAGGCCGATGCCAAAGGCGTTGACCAGGGCCCCCACGCCTGCCCACCACAGGATGGAGCCGATGTTCTCGAAGAAGGGCCGGGTGGGCATGAAGTAGCCGCCTTCCAGGACGATGGGTGGAAGGAGGTACAAGAAGTAAATGCTCGAATCCATGACTGGGGGCGACTTGTGGTCAGTGCCGTAAATGATGGCGCCCACCAGCGCCCCGACAAGGATGAGGAGGCAGCTTTCCGGCACGAGGCGGGGCAGCCTGCGGGTCAGGTGGAAGCCTGGGGAGAGCAGAGGAGCCGCGTCAGCTGTTTGCCAGGAACCGCCCTGCGGCGCCAGGGGGCGCATGCGCGGACTTCTCCCGCCGCTGCGCAGGCGCACCTTGGCACCTGGCTGCCCTGGGCCTCAGCACCCAGGTGGCAGAAGCTGGAAGTGCTGTGGGGCCCACACGGGACAAGTACTTCGCATGCCAGCCCCAGCGCAGGTGGCAGAGCCCATGTTCCCAGCCAGCGGGGTCCAGGCACTGGGAGCAGGGGAGAAGAGGTGGACTGCCTGCTCTCATGGAGAGCCACCCTGAAGCTCATGCAGCCCTTCGCCATCGCCTGAACCTCCCCTCCCCTCCCTCTCGGCCGAATGAGCCGGCAGGAATTGCAAGTCCTTTATTGAGTCCCCTATTTAGTCAGTGACATTGCTCTCCATCCAGTCACTTAGGGAAATCAAGTCGCATTCTCATGAACCCCCTCCACCACCTTTGTCCCTTTATTCAATCGGCTCCCAGCTTCACAGTAACGTCTCTCATCAGCTCCCCTGAACTGTACCCTCCTCTCCCCAGTTCCGCAGCCACCGTACTTAGGGCTTCCCATTTCTCCTGCCAGCTACTGCACAGTCCCCCTGATCTTCTCATCCCAGACCCCGCTCACTGCGTGTCCTGCTGCCAGGTGACTTTCCCACGCCATGCGCATGTGATGTCCCCTTCCCCACCCATGACTGTGGGGGAACACAGTGCATCTCGTGGACTCTAAGCTGAGGACACTTGCTAAGCATCTCTGCTAACCAACCCACTGGAAAGTACTGGTGGAGGACCAAACATGTTTTCTGTAATTACCATTGCTGATGGGATTTTAGAAACAAGACATTAACAAACTAGAAGACAAAACAAAATGTATACGTATACAATGAAATGCATACTGAACACCAGCAAGTAGGACACATGATCAGGGCACAGCGGGTTCCCCTGGGGCTCTCTCCAGGCAGCACCCCACCTCTGTTCTCTCTTCATACAGCCACGTCACAGCATCCACACACCTTTGCACCCTGCAGGCCCCCTTTCCTGTCTTCACACACTTTTGTGGCTGCTTGGATTGAGTTTTGTTCAAACTTTTTGGTCCTGTTCAATCTTTGAGGTTAAGTTTTTCCTGATCTCTTCCAAAAAAACCCAATATATTTCCTCTAAATTATTATAACATTTTGTCTCTACTTGTCTAACAACAATGATCCCTTTCTACCATTTTTGCTGCATGACTTATGTCCCTTGATAAACTGTAGATTTCATAAACTCAGGCAGAATGATAGACATCTTTATATCTCCCAAAGTGCTTGGCAAGAGGTCTACTACATGACAGCCAGTCTATTTGCCAGAAGAATGTATATGTGTATAAATGAATGAGTGAACAGGTTAAGTGTTCATGAGAAAATATTTTGCATGGGAAGTAAAGGTTGAACAGGTTGTTGGAAAATCATCAGCACTTGCATAATTAGACAACAGAATGGAAGACATTTTAGTCCGGGAGAACATCAAGAGGAAAATATAGAGACAGGAACGGCCCAGCCGCATATGTTCGACATTCACTGGGGAGATCCACCTGGCTGGAGCAAATTCCGAACTGGGGAGAGCACTGGACAGAGTTAGAAGGTGATTTTGAGCCAAATAATGAGGGCCTTGAATTCAAGTTTCAGGAGAGTAGGTTTTCTCCCGTCTCCTAAGGAATTTTTTAGGGTCCACTGTCCAGAGAGCACGTGGGTTTCCCTGACCATAGCTCTGAACTTTTCCCTCCACTATAGCAGGCTGGTTAACACAATGGCATGTTATTAGTACCAAAAAATATTATCCCAGGCCACATATCCAGCCCGCCGGCTTCAAAACCAGTTTACAGTAACCTTCTAAAGGCCTGCTCTCTCTGTTTGTGAATGAGAACTCGCTCCTCCTCTTTCCTCCTCTCTCCCTCCTTCTTCTTCATCTTGTAGTACTTATTTCAACCACATTAAATCTTTAAAATGTAAAAGAGGTGGAAGAGCCCACAGTGTCATTTGATCAGGCCCCGTGCCTCCCCTGTGCAGCCCTGCTTCCCAGAACGCAGTGTCCTGGAGGGATGCTGCAGCGCCCACCTCGGCCAAGCCACCTGCACAGCCAGGCACCTGCACAGCCAGGCACCTGCACAACCGCACACCTGCATAGCCAGGCACCTGCACAGCCAGGCACCTGCACAACCGCACACCTGCACAGCCAGGCACCTGCACAACCACACACCTGCACAGCCAGGCACCTGCACAGCTGGGCAGTGGCTTTTGCCGCACGCAGGGCCTGCACCCCGAAGCTTCCTGCGCCGGGGGCCGCACAGCCAGCCTCCCCTTTCCTGAGAGACATGGCTTTGCTCAATAGGAGACATTTTCATTTCAGTGACTGAAACGTAAAGGGCCACGAATAACAAAGTCCTCCGTGTAAGAGAGAGACAGCAGTCCTCCATTCTATTCTGCCCAGTGATTCAGGAACAACCTTCTGCACTGAGATGTTTACTAACATAGAACATAAGCCTCTTTTTAATTAAAAAGTCCTTATTTGCAGCCTGACCTCTGTGGCTCAGTGGTTGAGCATCGACCCTGCACCAAGAGGTCGCTGGTTTGATTCCAAGTCAGGGCACATGCCCAGGTTGTGGGCCAAATCCTCAAGGGGGGGGGGGCATGCAGAAGGCGGCCAATAGATGTTCTCTCTCTTCAATGTTTCTATCTCTCTCTCCCTCTCCCTTGCTCTCTCTCTAAACATCAATAAGGTGGGAAAGTCTTTATTTGCACCAAAAAAGAGGTCTTAAAAATAACTCTACAGATGAGCAAACTGAGACTTAGAAAGACAAAGTGAGTCATCTGTCAGTGACAGAGCTAGTTCCCGACCCCCAGAACATTCACCCATTCCCGAAGGGGTGGGGCAGGGAGAATCTCTAGCACTGTTGACAAAGGACACCTGAAAAGCCACGTGAGATCACCTGGAATGTGCTCAGTGTCCTTGGGGTTGCCTGAAAGATGTTAGTTCCTTAGCTCTGAGCGGAGAATATTTCCCCTTTAGAAAGCCATTTTTATTTGAGCCCTTATTAGAAATAATGTGAGACCCTTTGTGTAATTTAACCATTTGACAAATTACACAAGAGTTCTTCAAGCTAACAATTATTTGCATTTGTTCTTCGTACCTTACTAGCTCAAAATGAATAGCAGCTATGTAGAACACCTGATTAATACACCAGTGCCCCCAGCACCCAGGGGGCATTAGATGACTAGACAGAGCCCAGTCTTAATGCCAAGCTATTATCTGGCAGATCTCATGGCTCAACCCATATTTTATGCCCATCCTAGAGGGAAAATATAAATGAGCATCATAGATTTTAATAAAGTAATTTATCTATTCAAAGAACAATTTCACAACTAAGGCAAAAGACATGTTATACATAATAATTAAAATAGTATCAATTTTACTCTTTCAAATAAGCTGGTTTTATTTATTATATTTAATCCTTACTTGAGGATATGTTTCTATTGATTTTAGAGTGAGAAGAAGGGAGAGAGAAAAAAAATTTATGTGAGAGATTAAAGAACCCACAACCTAGGAAAGAGCCCTATCTGGGAATTAAACACATAATCTTCTGGTGTACAGGTCAACTCTCCAACCAATGGAGCCCCCAGCCAGGGCTCTAATAAGCTGGTTTTAAGGAGATAAGGGCATGGAGTTAGGAATTAAGTAATCACAGAGTGTAAACCATCACATTGGTTTTGGCCCAAAGAACCTGGATTAGAATTTAATCCATTAACTTGGATTCCCTGTATTTCACAGAGGAAAGCGTAGGTGCCCCACTGGTTTCATTTGGCTCAGTTGTAAATCATTATTGTACTGACAGAGATCGTCTCATGTGCCCCATATCCCATCACCGAGTTGTCTTGTTCCTTGCTTTCTGTGAGTTTGCAAGGAGCACAGTCCACTTCCAAAGAATCAACAATGGGAGCCATTGATGAAGCCCCGGCTACATGGCCAAGAGTGAAGGAAGAATATTTTACAGAAGAATCATGATCTGATTCCCAAAATCCCCAGCGGCCATCGTTCTGAGGTCTATATGCTTTACTCTACAGAATTTTTTAAAGCACAGAATCTTGAGATTTTTGCATGCCAAATAATGTCACATGATTGTCACACTAAAATGAAAAGAAATCAAAAGAACCCAGAACCCAAAGGTATGCTTTACATTTCAAAGCACAATTCTGAAGCATTAAATGGCTTTATAAAGAGCTGCATGGCTTCCTCTTGAGTCCAGGGAACAGAGTGTTTGATGAAATAGCAGTAGCAGTTACAATACTCATTCCCCATCTGTAAGGCATTTTCACAGACAGTACCTCATGTGGAAAACAACTTGCCCGACTCGGAGTTTGGGAACTTACCAATTTTGGCAAGGGATGCTAGAAGTATCCAGAGGGTGACCTCATAAGGAATCTGCACATAGTCATAATCCAGTGCAAAAACAGTTATCCTCTCGTCCAGCTCTGAGCTGGCAGCAGCAAACCGAATGCCAGGTTCATGCTGGGCACTGGCACTTGTGGGCTTGTTAAAATCAGAAGTTGCTTCAGAACACGTGAGGACTGCTAGCAACAGCAACCAATTCCAAGGACGAAAAAGCACGGACACCTGAAAAGCCATGATGTGCACTTCTGCCCCCACGCGTGCCACTGTGTGCCACCCCTGCAGCGCAGAGGGCTCCGGAGGACACCGGCATCCACCTGGGCAAGAGGAACATGCGCACAGTCCGCGGGCCATTCCGAGAAGAGTCCGAGTGCGGCATTGAGTTCTGAGTGGAGATGTTCTCAAGGAGCCTTGAGAAGATTCGTGTTCAGGCAACTCAGCTTCTGCCTCAAACATTCGGTAGATTTGTTCAAGCTCAGGGAGTTACCTGCGTGACCTTTTCTGATTGTGATTTGAAGATCAGTCTGTGAAGGGGAAAATATCTCTTCTTCAAAGCTTCTGCTCACTTCACTGAACACTGGTTTGGTCTTGTGAGTGAAAACTGAAAAGGATACCACGTGCTCACTTCAGATATCACCGGAGTCCTAACCAGGAAGGGGATCCTCCCTCTACCAGCTCCCAGTCAGGAGCTACCTGTCTTGCACCTGCTCCTTCTCTCCTCCCCCTGCTCTCTCATTTGTTCTGAGTGGCCAAGGCTGCAGGTGGCTCTTGAACCGCACTTACTTATTTGCCCTGATTTGATTTTCCCCGAGTGTTCTCTGCGGGTTACACTGCTGACACCTAGTGGGCAGCCCTAGTAGGACACCTTGGCATGTTGAATGACAAACCATGAAGGTGATCATGGAATCATTATCTGAACCGGGGCACTTTTGAGAGTGAAAAAAGCTATCAATATATGCCAGACGACAGGTGTGCACCAGGAATGTCTTGGCACCCTCGGTCATACAGTCTCCATAATGAGGAAGAAAGAGGAAGAGGAAGAGGAGAAGGAAGGGGAGGAAGCTTAGCTCATTACTGGATTCCCTGAGCAGCAATTCAAAGAAAGAATGAAGTTGCGGTTCTCCGTAAAATTTACACAGAAGTAAGAAAAAAACAATGAGCAGAAGGGCAAGCTCCATGAGTCAATGTAAACCCAGTTAGGGACACTCCATGGCACATCCACATTTTCCAGTGGAAAGGGTTTTGTTATTAAGGTGTATTTGTTCAAAAGCAGCAGCACAACAGAGTTTACGAAAGAACGTTGGGATGCTTTCTGTGGGTCTACCCCTAGTTCTGCATCTAGCCAGGTGACCTTGGCCAGTTACGTATCTGTCAAAGTATCCTTATATAAAAAGGGGGAGGATAAACAAAGTAATTCAGGTAGTCTATCTGGCCCTTAATAAATGTTCATTTTTATTATTTTAAATGACATTATTTTTCTGCTCAGTCAGGGTGGCTCAGTGGATTGAGCAACGTCCCATGGACAGAGAGGTACCTATTTGATTCCCGGTCAGGGCACATGCCAGGGTTTCGGGCTCCATCCCCAGTAGGGGGCGTGCAGGAGGCAGCTGATCAATGTTTCTCACATCGATGTTTCTATCTCTTTCTCCCTCTCTCTCTAAAAAAATTAATGAAAAAACATATTAAATCACATTTTTCTATATGAGAAATAAGAACACTATTGCAATGACAAACAGTGCTCAATAGAAAATGAGCTATCTCATTTACCTCTCTACCTCTATCTCAATACCTCTTTATAGCAAACTATAGGATGATTTGTATTTTTTTTCTTAGTTGATATTAGTGAGTGTAGATAATTTCCCATCAACAAGCTCAACAAAGAGCATTGAAAAAGTGAGGCAGGAAGCGTTAAGGAGGGCTAGCATCTAGCTGCAACGTCTTAGTAACATAATAGAATCAAAAGCTCACAAATGGATTAGGCAAAGCTTTTTCTCATACACAGCAAAACCACAACCAATAAAATAAAAAAACAGATAAATTAAACTTAATCAAAATAAAAAATTTTGCTGCAAACTATATTATTAAGACAATGGGGAAAGAAAAGAAAAGAAACAACAACCCACAATTCAAAGAATAGGAAAAAACTTGCAAATCACCTATCTGATACAAGGATTTATATCCTGGATTTATAAAGAACTCTTACAACTCAGTAATCAAAAGAATAACAGCCCAAGTGAAAAATGAGTAAAGGATCTAAGAAGGTATTTCTCTAAAATATATACAAATGGTCAATAAATACATGAAAAAAAGCTCAACATCATGATTCGTTAGGGAAATACACATCAAAACCACAATGCGACATTACTTCTTACCCACTAGAATGCTAAAGTCGGAAACAAAACAAAAAGCCAGATAATAACCAATCCTACCAATAATGGCAAGAATATTGTGGGGCTCCAAAATGCTAGTGAAAATCTAAAATGGTACAGTTTGGCTTCTTTCCTGAGGAGACACCAAATGGCGGAGGACGCCGGTGCTGCGGAAGGGCCCGGGGACCCGGGGGGCCCTGGAATGGGAGGCCGCGGAGGCTTCCGTGGAGGATTTGGCAGCGGCATCCGGGGCGAGGTCGCGCGGGGCCGGGGTCGTGGCCGCGGAGCTCGCGGAGGCAAGGTGGAGGACAAGGAGTGCATCCCCGTCACCAAGCTGGGCCACCTGGTCAAGGACATGAAGATCAAGTCCCTGGAGGAGATCTATCTTTTCTCCTTGCCAATCAAGGAATCCGAGATCATTGACTTTTCTTGGGGGCATCCCTCAAAGATGAGGTTTTGAAGATTATGCCCAGGCAAAAGCAGACACATGCTGGCCAGAGGACCCGGTTCAAGCATTTGTCGCCATTGGGGACTACAGTGGACATGTTGGTCTGGGTGTTAAGTGCTCAAAGGAAGCAGCCACTGCCATCCGTGGGGCCATCATCCTAGCCAAGCTCTCTATTGTCCCTGTGCGGAGAGGCTACTGGGGGAACAAGATTGGCAAGCCCCATACTGTCCCTTGCAAGGTGACTGGCCGCTGTGGCTCTGTACAGGTGCGCCTCATCCCCACCCCAGGGGCGCTGGCAGAGTCTCAGCCCCTGACCCAAGAAGCTGCTGCTGATGGCTGGTATTGACCACTGCTACACCGCGGCCAGGGCTGCACTGCCACCTGGGCAACTTTGCCAAGGCCGCCTTTGATGCCCTCTCTAAGACTACAGCTATCTCACCCCGACCTCTGGAAGGAGACTGTGTGCACCAAGTCTCCCTGTCAGGAATTCACCGACCATCTTGTAAAGACCCACCCCAGAGTTTCTGTGCAGAGGACCCAGGCTCCAGCTGTGGCCACCACATAATTTTATACAAGAAAAAGTGAATAAAGCCAGTTAATTAAATTTAAAAAAATAAAATAAAATAAAATGGTACAGTTTGGCTGTTTCTCAAACTATTAAACCAAGAACTAACATATGCCCCAACTATTTCATATATATCTATATATCTCCAAGAGAAATGAAAATACATATTCACTCTAAAACTTGTTCATGAATACTTATAGCAACATCATTTATAACGGACAAAAAGTGAAAACAAGCCAAATGTCCATCACTTGTTGACTGGACGAATAAAATGGGAACTATCATACATGAACGAAGTGCTAATATGTTACAACATGGATGAACTTGAAAGAGTAATGGTAAGTTGTGCTAAGTGGGAGCAGCCAGGCGCGTGAGACTGGCTGTGTGGCCTGTCCATACGGCCGTGCGCAGAAACAGGAAGCAGACTATTTGTCCAGGCCTGGGGAAGAGGAAAGTACAGGGTGACCATGGCTGAGGAGGTTTTCTTTGGTTAACGAGATATTCTGAATTCATGGTTGTGGTTGCATGACTCTGAACATACTATAAAACACTGAATTGTACACTTTAAATGGACGAATTGTGTAATGTTTAACTGGGTGAATCACATAGTATTATATCTCAATAAAACTGTTTGAAAAGGTAGGCAGTGAGGCAGGACAGGCTAGCTCCCTGTGACTCAGCCGTGGCTTCACAAGAAAGCACAGTTGGCTGTTTGGCCACGTGGGATGCCGTCTAGAAAGCCATGTGGGATCGCCACGCTTTAGCAAGTGTATGAGAGAGGGTCCTCCCCCCTCTCTCTTGTCCTCTTGTCCGTCCACATTGCGCGGCAGGGCACTGGCTCCCTCATGCTCGCAGACACCCAGCAGGACAGCTCTGGGAGCCCGCTCTCTCCTTGCCCTGCGGGGCTTCGTGCTGCCCGGCAGGAGGAGAGCTGCAGACTCGGAGTCCAGCCACACGGAGACTGCAGGGCTTGAGACTGCAGGAGCCATTGGTAAAGCTAGAGCAGAGGACGGTAGAGAGACTGCCATCTGTGACGGAATATTGTTCTGAAAGCCGGAGCTGGGGAGAGGGAGGCTTTCATGTGGGCGGCCCTAGTCGCTGCAGCCCCGGCAGGGAAGAGGGGCGCGGCCCGGCGGGAGACCCCAGGCCGTTGGCTCCGAGCCGGATGCAGAGCACGTGGAGGAGCCGAGCACAGCTTCGCACGTCCCACCCATCTACGCCGAGAAGCCAGTGCTGCAACAACAGACACCCATGAACTGGCTCGGGGACATCTGCCCGAGAGGACCGCTCTGAGGTGGCCGCAGGCAGGGTTAAGGCAGCCCGAGCACGGTCAGAGCCCATGCAGAGGAAGCCAGGCGAACGGAGGGTTCGTGGAGGCGGTGGCACAGGAACTAGTTATGGCAAAACGAGCAAACGAACGAACGAACGACCTACACACACGAAGCTCCTCGGACTGGTCCCCTCCAGCGCGAGCCAAGGCGCCTGCTGTTACCCCACCAGCTCCAGGAGTTCAAAAACACTGACAGTTCCTGGGAGCAGCCTCTCTTTTCTTTTCTTTGTTTTTCTTTTTATAGTTCTGAAGTCAGACTGAATTTTTTCTCATTCTCTTTTATTTATTGTTGACACTATTACAGATGTCCCAAACTCCTCCACCCCCCGTTCTTTTCTGGCCTCCACCCAGTGCACACCCTCCCTGCTTTGGCCCTCACCACACTTGTCTGTGACCCTGGGCTATGTACATACCTTCTTTGGCTAATCTTTTCACCTTCTTTTATCCAGTCTTCCCACCTCCTTCCCCCTGATATCTATCAGTCTGTCCCATGTGTCCATGCATCTGGTTCTATTTTGTTCATCA